ACCGGTAGATCCACGTTTCAACTCCTTCCATATTTTTCATTCCTTTTTCAATTGGTCCCATTTGTTTTTAAATTTAAGCTGGTCGTAATCTCTGCCAGTCAATTCTTTGAATCTTTTAGCAATATTTTGTCACCCTTTCTTATTAAAATAGATTGTTGGTCTTTTCCCCAGTTTTATTTCTTTAATACATAAATCACAAAAAATATTTGTTACTTCTTTATCCCACATTGCGGATTGACCCCCTTCAACCCCTTTAGACATGATATAACTATAGGCAACAAGAGAATAAAAACTTTTTAAATTTGAATCTCAATAGAATTGTTGAAGAAATAATTGCACCAGCTCATTCACAATGTTCATAATTATGAATCACAAGTCAACAAGAACAACAACCCAACAACAACAATAATCTTGAAATAATCTCATTGCCACCAATATGAACAACAGTCTACATGTTAGCTCAAAAAAATATATATAAATATATAAAGACAAATAAATTATGTGGTTCGGTCAATGACCTACATCCACAGTAAAACATCGAAAATACTTTATTATGCAATTGTATAAGGTTACGTAACTATAAATTTTAAAGGAGAACAATACAACTCCCATTTCTCCCTTTAGTGATAATTTCTCAAATAACAAATAAAAATCAAACATGTTTTTCATTCTTCCTCTCTTTAATGAGCTGGTACAACTTCATTATCTCATATATGTGCAAAGGCTTTAGGAATTCATACAAATTTTCGAGCATAAAACCATCCAACCAAGTTAAATCGTATGGCAGGGGAAAACATAGCTGGAGAAGTAGAAGCAAAACCATAATCCCAAAGTTCTCGGATATGCTCAAATGCCAAGTTTTCGGCCACCATTGATAACCAAAACAAAGTTCTCGAATGTGTGGAGGGAACAATGAATGAGAAATAAACAACTAACATAAAATAATTTCATTCGGTTCTACATAACAATAATGACAAGAAAGTCAAAAAAACTTGCATTACATTCAACTTATAGCATGATCATTAGCAAATCAAAGAAAACCAACCTCTATTCCTGATCTGCAATAAATAATGTCATTTTGTATGTACTTGACTCCCGAAATTCTAATGAACCAAGCTCATACCTATGTTTCCTATAAACAAGAATTATAGCATGTCATTTTGTATGTTAATTGCAGCCCATAAACGTCAGCACATAAACTTGAAAAACAGGAAGTAATACTAGCTCATAAAGCTCTGATGCTATAACCATTGCCCAATACTATAACCATTGATGCTATAACTATTGCCCAATACTATAAACAAGAATTAATTGCAGCCCATAAACTATAGATAAGAACATGGATTCCTCTCATAGATAAGTCTAAAATCCAGCAAAAAATGAAACAAAATTTGGGAGTTGGCTTTAAGGAAACAAAAAAAATCTACTCCAAAATTATGGAGCAATGAAAATACATTCTCCACACTTTTCTTCGCGCCTACCAAACATGGATTCCTCTCATAGAACGTTCTAAAGCCCCGCAAAATTCGGGAGTTAGCTTTAAGGAAACAGAAAAAATCGAAACCAAATTTCTGGAGCAATCAAAATGCATTCTCCACACTTTTCTTCAGGCCTAGCAAAATAATGAAAGGAAATCGTAAAACCATAAAGATCCATTCGGCGACCTTCGAATTGAGATGGAAGAAGATGAAAGCCCTTGCTCTTCTATCAAGGAAGAAAAAAAGAAAAGAACAGAATGCATTCTCCACACTTTTCTTCAGGCCTAGCAAAATAATGAAAGGAAATCGTAAAACCATAAAGATCTATTCGGCGACCTTCGAATTGAGACGGAAGAAGATGAAAGCCCTTGCTCTTCTGTTAAGGAAGAAAAAAAGCAAAGAACAACGAGGTTCGACCGTTCACACCCATACCTTACGAATCAAAAAGAGAAATCGAAAGGAACACGGTCTGATCTCCTCTAGGGTGAAGAAATTCGATTGCAAGCAACGAGCCAGGGAGGGAGAGTGCGAGGGGTATCTTGGGCAAAGATGATAGCCGAACGCGGGTCTTGACCCGCGTCGAAGCCCTTAAGAAATTCTTCGAAGCGGGGCACAGTGCGGCGTGAATAATGAGACCGAACGGTCTCCCAAACAATGCGGCAGCGTTTTCAAAATGCCGCCGCACTTAAATAAGCTGCCCCAAATGGGCCCTTATATAATCGTCACAGGAGTACCTTAGTATTCGCCGTCTAAAAATTGTGTCAATTAAGACACCTAAATATCAATATTCTTTTTCATATACATGCATGAGTACCTTAGTATTCACTCTGCTAGTACTATCAAGGGGTTACTCCATCATAGTCAGTCATGTACATACAATCAATCTATATAAACATATCATTCATGTATTCATATCATTCAATTCAACATACTATATAAAACAAACACCAAATGAATTAGAGTAAGTAACTACAACATTCATAACGATATGACCAATAAAGAAAAGAATATCCCAATCAGCATGAAACATGCACAAGTTTTATCAATTATAAAAAATTTGAGAAGAAACAAATTTTAATTGTAGATAATAATTACAAGCACTCACCTCGATTACGATTAAATTGTTAATCTGTTTGTCATGAAACATGCACAAGTTTTATCAATTATAAAAAAATTTGAGAAGAAACAAATTTTTATTGTAGATAATAATTACAAGCACTCACCTCGATGACGATTAAATTGTTAATCTGTTTGTCTTGATGTTGATTCCCCTAATGGAAACCTAACATAAACATGATATTAATAATATCAAATTTAAATGCTTTATTATTTTAAGTAGTTATTGCTTTACGTTATTCATGTTTAAAATTTTATATTTTACTTTATGTAAACCCCCTAAATTATATATATATATATATATATATATATTATAATTAAAATCGAATAAATATTTTACCTTCTTCTTTGGCTAAATCCTAATATAAGAAAAAGTTCTGTAGGAGAGAGCTCTGGCTCAGCTCAGCATCCGCACGCCTTCTTCTTACTTTGCACGCTAATCCATTGCACTTGACTCCTCGTACGAATTGTCGCTGTGCCTTCTTCTTGCCTTTCTTCTCCTTCGGCTCGGTCGATCGAGATTGAGCAAAATATGAAGCACGAGGATCCTTTTCCACACGAGCTCTCTACAACCCCTTCTATTCACTCTAGCCGCACTCACTGAAGCCACAAGATCACAAAAGTTCTCTGCTTCTCTTGTTTACTCTCAGGTAAGACGTTTGCGACTCTTCATAGAATATTTTCACCTCCTTAACCCTCATTCTCTTTTCCGACTGCCCAACTCTTTGATTCCTTTTCGCTCCCTTCGTTTCCTCTCCCCATGTACCTGAAATGAGCTGTTACACAATAAAAGAAAAAGAAAGATTTTTTCAAGAAGCTCATTGGTTTCCCTGTAGATATGCAAAGCCTTGTGTCCCTTTATATATTTTCTTCTCAATGAGTTGTACACTTGAATATTCTAGAGCAGGCATTGCATTATTTTTGGTAGCTGTATAGCTGAGTGTTTATTTCTTGCTGCAGGTAAAGCTGCTGGGCTGCATCGCCCATTTAATTCTATTTTTATGCAGGTTTACTTATAATTATATTTTTAAATGTAAGTTTATTGATGATCTGTTACGGATAACAAACCTGATAACATTAATTTTCAGGGCAGTGATTTCATTGTAATGATTTTCCTTTGTATTTTCAAGCCCAGTTGTGCAAAAGTTCATCTTAACAAGTTTGGTCATAAGAAAACATTTTAAATACCTTAGGTTTTGAAACTACATGCTTAACAAGAGGGTGTAGAAACAATCTTACATCTTTCGGACGATTTACTTGTTGAGGTGATTGTGAACAGTTCTGAGTAGCATCTAGCAACAGTTTTGTAAGGAATCTTCCATAGTTAGGTTCAAGGATGGTTAACCTGATTAGTTTTTTTGCTATAGATTTCATATAAATGAGCAAAAAAAAGTTTTTTCAAATGTTTACTATTGATTTTTTGAGATTGTATATAATCTAGTACAATTAGTTATTATTTGGTGCACCTTTAATAAGTGTTTGCTTCAAAGTCATTTAAAGTACTATTGATACGCTTAATGAAGCCTTAAATAGTATTAAAAGTAGTTGTCGAGTTTGTAGTTATTGTAGGAAACCAAGGTTCGTCGTGAGATCATTTCATTTGCATTGATTATATAGATGCTTTTAAAAGATATTTATAGGGTGGTTCCCTATAGAAAATATATAGAAGATACATGACTTAGAATTAGTGAAGTAAAATAATTAATAGGCTTGATATTAATGTTTACTAATTAATATCATGGGCGGATAAAGTGAAACTTAGACGTAATAAGTTTAACCATGTTGAATCTAGAAGTATGGGGTTGTAACATTAAAGCAAAGATTGGATGAATTAAATGTAGAAGTGCTCAAGAGTATTTTGCGATAGGAGGTATCAGGAAGGCTTTGCACTAGATTTAGACAGGTTATGATTAGGTTGATGTTTTATGGATCTTACTGTCGGGTAAAAAAAAATGATAGCCAAGTTGTTCTTAATGAAAATGATAATGTTAAAATGAATGTGCAGAAAAGCAAGATTAGAAGTATAAATTATGGGATGGTTATATTAAATAAAACATTGATGTGATATCTATCACAGATAAGATTTTATGGACATGTCGAATAAAGGGCAGGAAATGTATGTATTAGATTGTTAGATAAGATTAGTATTGAAGTATTAGAAAGGAGAATGGTACTTCAAAAATAAAATTAATATAATTTATTCAAAATGCCTTGAAAAGAAACTATTTCATGATGTATGGTAGTAAATGATTATTAATAAAGCCGCCCCAAATAATTATGATGAGAAGGGGGTGGCTGCTGCTTCTGATATTAATGATAAATGACCAATAGAAGTTTTCTTTCATGATACTTTTTATAAGCACCATTTCAGCATATTGAAAGGTTTGACAATTAATCTTGCTACAGATGAACAGGTTACTGTAACTCCATACTCCATTTCCACAAGACTTAAGGAATTATCTGATTGGCTTCTCAAGGTCATTGCGGCAGGGAACTTGGAAGCCATTTTTCCAGCTGCAACACGTGAATATGCACCATTAGTTGAGGAGCTGTGGAATACTTCCGCTATTCAATTAACATATAAAAGGATATCCGAGCTACAATCGCTTCCTGCTGTTGCTTGTTATTTCTTAGACCGGGTATGCTTGCATTTTACTTTTTTATTAATAATGCCCGATAGATAAATTTACCACTCATCTAATTCTGTTTGTTATGTTAGTTTCCTACGCTAATTTTTATAACGTAAGGGCTTGTTTTGCTTTTATGTAAAATGGTGCATTTTCTAAGTTTCAGTAGTTTTCAGTGCTCTTAATGTCTGCATATCTATCTACACTATGCCTAGTCTTTTCATATGATTTGATTTTACTTGATTAATTAATAGATATTAGATTAGGAATCGAGGTTTGTATTAGATTTCTAAGTTTGTATGCATATCTTGGATGGACGAAATTGTAGCTAGACTGAAAAGGAATATAATGCAGCATCTTTTTGGGATCCACAATCACAAGTTAGCTATTTGGAGCCATAAGATCTTAATGATTGATTTAGCAAATTTAGTCTGTCTTGCAAACAAAAGCTAAGTAGAAATTGATTTAATCTATTCTTTTATTGGTTTTCGAGCTTAGGTTACTTTAGAGTCAAACCTATTGGGACTTATAAAATCATGTTGGCCCAGGTTCTTCTTCATGCCGGTAAGAGATTAGCATGTAAAAATGTATATAACCATGTTCATATCCAGCCAAAGTTTATGAGTCTTTCCTATTTCCCTGCTGCATCATTGAAACGGAAACTGCAAATATCAGCAGCAATGCTGGAGGATGATATGCAGCCGGCACTTAACATCGTGTTAATTCAACTTAAGTTTCCAAGGATTGTTGAATGCCTTAGTTAATTCTATCAATTGTCAATTTGGTAGTAAGTTGCAGAGATAGCCATGCCCACATCAGTTAAATAAAATTTATTAGGGTCTTTACCTATAAAAATGATCCAATTGAATTTAACTTTGAGCTAACCAAAACTTTCGAAGTCCATCTGTTATAAGGTGTGTGAATGCCACTATTCATGAAAATTTTATAAAGAAATAGCATTTGGATCATCTTAATTGGAGTTAAAGTTCATCTGAACATTTGACTAAACTCTCAAAACTTATTCATTAAAGCAAAGGTAGTTATACTGTTCTATTGAATATGCGAGCCATTAATGAAAACAAATTGTGATTGCGCTGGTAAATTTATGTTCTAGGCAAATTTGGTAGGGTGAGCATAGATATGAGCTAGAGTTTTACTATGATTACATTTGGGAAATCTGACTTTGATCGTCTCATACACAAAATTTGGCCAAATATTCATTTTGTATGTTTATTTGGAAAAAAAATAAAGCTAAAAGATTGTTTTGGATGAAATTTTGTTAAATGAGATATAACTTCCTGTCTTCACATACCACTTATTGGTTTTCTAAGTAATTTAAAATCCATTTGAGCTGTTCCAATTTAAACAGGTTTGAATATAATACTATCCATGTTGAACTTGATTTGAATCAATTTTTAAATCCTGTGTACGTCTTCTGAGCCTAAGTTTTGTGGGTCTAAACCTCACAATATGTTGTTCAAACTTTATTTCAAATGCTTATGGTTGTTGGCATTTGAACCTTCACAGTTCCTATTTCAAAGTTTGATGTGAATTCCTATAGGAGATGGGGTGATACCATGTGAAGGAGAATATGAGTTCGTGAAAGTAGCTCTCTTTGGGTAATCGCTGATGAACCTATGTTGTGTGAAGGACATGGGAAGTTTGTAACCGGACTTGCTAGGGAGGGGTTATGGAAGGGATTGTCATCGGCCAATATGAGTTCGTGAAAGTAGCTCTCTTTGGGTAATTGCTGATGAACCTATGTTGTGTGAAGGACGTGGGAAGTTTGTAACCGGACTTGCTAGGGAGGGGGTATGGAAGGGATTGTCATCGGCTAAAAGCTTTTCGATCACAGTATTATATTTTGTGCTTTTCACACAAAATAGTTGTTGCCCTCTTCTTTTTATTCTTTTTTAATTTTTGATAGTTTTTCAATCTGATTACTTAAAAAGAGATAACTTTGCTTTCATTTATATATCTAACTTCGATTGAAAGGGGCTTCACGGTTGTAGGTGTTAGAAAAAACTTATATAGCTTCCTAATGTCCACAAAAATTCATGGCTATTGTGCAAGAATATGATGAACTTCTAGTGGTGAAATTATTGACTAAGTTGAGGATAATGATCAATTTTTTTATGATGATTTAAGCACACATATGTATAAGACAACTGATATCCTTCATGGTTTATTGCATGTTTCTATTGATGAATGTGAAGTTGAAATTAATTTTGAAGCTAAAATTGAATCTAATAATTTAAAGCGGCTTGGTGTGCTGTTGATCTGCCTAATATTCTTATATAGTTAATTTTGTCTTAACATAGAGCTTCATAATTTTGAAGCTAAAATTGAATCTAATAATTTAAAACGGCTTGGTGTGCTGTTGATCTGCCTAATATCCTTATATAGTTAATTTTGTCTTAACATAGAGCTTCAGTTGATGAAGATGGGCTTGGATTTGGCTATATATGTAAATTTCCCTTTTTTGCATTCTTACATACATGCCATGCAATTCCTATATATTTACAGGCCCGACACTTAAATTTCAATTTCTACTTGCATACCTTGTGAACTTCAATATCTACATGCAGACAAAAATTTCTTTATGTATTCACAAATATAACACCCGAACTTTAATTTCTACATGCAGACCACTAATTTCTTATACATTTACAGATAACACATGAACATCAATTTCTACATGCAGATCACTAATCTTCTATGCATTTACAGACATAATACTTAAACATCAATTTCTACATGTGTACCACTAATTTCCTATGCATTTACAGATATAACACCTGAATTTTAATTTCTACATGCATGCCACTAATTTTTTATGCATTTACAGATATAACATCTGAACTTCAATTTCTATATACATACCAAATAATTCTTATGTATTCATATATCTAATACCTGAACTTTTCATATTACATTTCTAGCATTCAAATCCTTTATATTATTGTTATTTTAACTTTGCAAAAAGTGAATTATATCTTCTGCTGTTTAAATGGCATGTTATGTATGTAAAATGAAAGTTTGAGTGTTAGATAAATAAATATATAAGAATTTAGTGCTGTGCTTATTCATCACTATATTATCATGCATATCTAGGCACTTTTGAATTCTATGTTTCATACATGTGTTGGTTATTAAAGATTCATACATATGTAATAATATTCATTGTGGAATTCTTGCTTAAGCAATCTTAAATTTCATGTGAATTGGTGTAGCTTGGAATTCATGTATAATTGAATCATATTCTTGCATTTGAAGATTGTTTATCAAAAGTACATGTATGTGGAGTTTGTGCATATTGAAAATTATGTGAGTTTTGAATGTATATGCCATTTGTTTTTGTACGTAAAATGGATGTTTAAGTGTTAGATACATTAATATATAAGACTTTAGTGACATGCTTATTCATCACTATATTATCATGCATGCTCATCATCATGCATATCTAGGCACGTTTGAATTCTATGTTTCATACATTGTGTTGGTTATTAAAGATTCATGCATATAAAATAACATTTATCAATCTTAAATTTCATGTGAATTGGTGTAGCTTAGAATCCATGTATACTTGAATCTTATTCTTGCATTTGAAGTGTGGTTTATCAAGAGTACATGTATGTGGAGTTTGTGCATATTGAAAATCATGAGAGTTTTTGAATGTATATGCCATTTGGTGTAGAAATTGATAGATAATAAAGAAGAAAATCTTCACATACATAACATTCCACTATATTTTATAAAAAAACATATGAATGATTGTTGGAGCCATGATCGTCATTGTTACCATTCATATGAAAATTATAACATCAGATATTGGCATGCATAGTTCATTACTTCCATGTGGATGATCATATTAGCTTGCATTCAAATCAATTTGCTTGATTCATTTTGATTATTTCATTCATGAGTGCACACATGTTTACTTTATACTGACTCTAATTATCATACAAGCTTCTTGGTGCTCCTTTGTGAGGTAAATCCGATCGTGATTGGGATGCATAATGCTATGGAAGAACTCCTTCCTACTTTTTTTCCTGCTGGTGATTGTCCGACGATTATGCGAAGTTCTGAAGCTACATTGGAGCTTAGAACAAGAGGGACGACATCAAACTTTGTGTCGGTGAGACTTGAGAAACCTCTCAATTTTATCTCTTTCTAGGAACTTATGTTGATATTTGAAAAGGGATTGGCTCTCTAGTCACGTTCGACATTTTGTTTTTGCAAATGATTTAAGTTTGAATTGGTTTTGGACATAAGATTTATACCTGAAGACTGTTGGTACACGTCTTTATGGTTATGACTGTTTCTAGACCGTTGGTACACATCTTTGTAGGGGCGACGGTCTTTGACCGTTGGTACACCTCTTTGTGGGGGTTGTAGAGATACCCGAAGCCCCGATGGTACATCTCTTTTTCTAACATTAAACTAAGATCCTAGTAAGAGAGAAAGTAGAAAGGTTTTGCAAGAGTCTCATCGATGCGAAGTTTGGCATCGTCCTTTTTGTTCTAAATTTCAAAGTAACTAAACAACCTCTTCACATGATCTCTGAACGATCACTGATGGTGAAGAAGGAAGGAAGTCTTCTAAAGCACGGGGCATCCCGACCATGATCAGATTTACCTTGCAAAGTCACACCAAGAAGTTTTTATGAGAATTGAAGTCACTATAAAGTAATAACTTGTGAACTCATTAATGCAATAATCAAAGTGAATCGATCAAATTGATTTGATGTGTTAATATGATTGTCCACATGGAAGTAATAAATATGCATGCATGTGCTGCACATCCTGGGTCTGGAAGGCGGTACACCCCGATAATGCAAGGGGTGATGAAATGGATTGAATTTGTTTTATATTTTCAAAAACAATATTGTATGCAAATAACAATAGAAATATACAAAAAATATCAATTTTATTCCATAATAAATATACCACTGATACAATTTAAAGGAAAACAAAAAACTGTTCAAATCAAAACTGAAATAATAACAATGA